TTTGTATTTATCCTCATTTGTAGTCTCTTTTGGAAATCATCTGGTTTGTGCTTGTGGTTTTGATTTCTGGGCAGTCAGAAATCAAAGAAGTCTTTTCAGAAATCTAATTTGACAGGTTGTATGATAGGATCCAGGTGTTACAAAGCAATTTTATTTGCCTTTTTAAAATTGGAATTCAGCTTGAATTTCATATTATTAATCTGCTATGAAGCACTATTAAGGTAACTTACATTTTCTTTCTATCACCAATGATATAAGAGTTCCTTTTTCCATTTTGGTGCTGGAAGGTGTTATGTTGTTGCTCATTAAATATGTGACAGCTGAAGTGAGAAATTCACTATATTGCTATAAAAATCTGTGTGAACATATCATTTTCTATTCCTCACCTACCCCCTCTGTATTGCTAGAATATTAACATGAATTTAAGTAAGATTAATTAAATCCTGTTCTTGGTTTTTTTTAAACTCTAAAAATTAATTTTTAGCAGAAAATAGCATAAAGTATGACCTACAGTAAACTTACAAGACCTAGGAATACAGAAAATGAATATATGACTATAACCATATTGCATAAGAATTATTTTATTCATACTAAAAGTTAATAAGCACCAATAAATTTCCACAAGATATTTTCACTTTCCTTAACATCCCCCAAGGCTTTCTTTTAGACACATTTAAATTTGTCTAAATTAAATTTTAGTGAAGTTTAAAGAATAATAATAGATGCTTTGTAAAGTGTAGTGCTAGGGTCCTTGGAAGCCTCAACACCGAGTGGGGGGCCTTCGGGGACGACGGGGCCCTGGAGGACATCCACACGGAGTTCGACCGCGAGATCGACCAGGGCTCCCTCAACCCGGGCAAGCAGCTGTGAGTCCCGCCTGCCTGTCCGTCCGCGCTGGCCACCTGTGTGCCCGAGGGCACTGAGCTCGAGGTCCGGGGTGGGGGCCGAAAGGGCAGAACGCCCGGTGCCCGCAGAGCGAGCACTAGCTCCATGAGAGGACTAGCTCCATGAGAGCATGGATCATGGGTTGGGAGCTTGGAATAGGGGTCAGGGATGGCAGCATGCCAGATTGCCAGGGAATTTACTGAAGAAGTCAGTCACCTTTCAAGTTAGAGGTGCAAATAGGGCAAATAATCTAGAAATTCTTAATGTCAGTACTTGTACTGCCAGCATCCCTGCTCATACCCAAAGTTTCCTGCTACAATAATAAGTGGAATTTAACTCAGTCGGCGTCTATGACGGACATAAAAATTCTGCCTCTTAGTCCCTTGACTAGTGAACCCCAAATGTACTTCTCAATTTGACTATACTTTCTAATACACACTTATAAATGAATAAGGAGGGTTCCTTACCTCTAAGACAGTCAGCCTTAATCATACTCAACATTTATGAAAGTGGTTTCTGTAGTTCTAGATTCTCTATTTTTAAAAAAGTGTTCCATGATCCAATGAATTTGAAAGTTCATATACTTTATGTTGTACTATAAGCTATAGTTGATTTTCCAACTTTTAGAGTCTTTGTTCATTTCATTCATACATTCATTTATTCAATAAACTAGAGGCCCAGTGTATGAAAATTCATGCACTGGAGGGGGGGGTCCCTCAGCCCAGCCTGCCCCCTCTCACAGTCCGGGAGTCCTGAGGGGCAGGAGGCTACCCAGCAAAATGCCCCCATCACACCTCTGCTACTGTCACCGCTGGCAGCACAAGCCTTGGCCAGCCCTGGTTACCTGAGTCTCGATGGCCCTGGGCAGCTGGGCAGCTGCCATCCGAGATTTGCCTGTGCCTTAGGCCGGCCCTGGGCAGCTGGGGAGCTGAGGAGACTGGGAGATTCCAGAGACAGGCACGTGGAGTGGCTGGGTCCGCTGGGGTGGGCCGGGTTTGCTACACACCTGCCGCCCCAGCGGGGCTGAGGGGAGTGGGCACCGCCATCTGTGGCTGTGGGAGCTACCATCTTTGAGGGTGTGGCAGTCAATTAGCATATTTCCTCCTTATTGGCTGTGGGCATTGCCGTCTTTGCAATGATGTGAGGGTCAATTAGCTTAGTCCCTCTTTATTAGATAGGATACTTATTAAATTCTTTCTATGAGCCCGATATTCATTAGATGTTGGGGACAGGATGAGGAACAAGGTAGATCAAGACAGAGGGTCTACATTCTTAAATCTTACCAACTGTGTAGAAAGATAGATATAAAATAAGCAGCTACACTCTAAGTTAAGGGCTAAAACAGGGAGAGATCCAGGACTCAGTAGGAAAAAGCAAAGCTATCTAACCCGGCCTGAAAAGGGTCAGTGAAAGGATTCTCTATAAATACTGTCTACGTTAAGAACTTGAAGATCAAGTAAAAGTTAGACAGGCAAGTAACTTTCAGTTATAAGAGCAGCAATAATGATAACAGGAAATCGTTAAAGCTGACATATAAGTGCACTTTTTAACCTGCCATACATTGTACTAGATGCTTTCCAAGCATTCTATCAGTGGGCCTCCTGAGTGGGTTTTATTTCTTAACCCAATATCATATGACAATAATTGGTAAGAACTAGAATTTAAATCCTGATTGCTCTGATTTTAAATTCCTCTTTCCACCTCCTTTCTACTGGCTCTCAAAGCAGTGGACTGATTTTGATTAACTATGTTTTGCTAAAGCAAAAACAGATTTAACTTACTAGTATATATGAAGTTTGCTTTGTTTATGATTTTCATATGATTTTTTTTCTAATGGCTAGATATTTTACAATTTTGATAAATTATAGTAAAATTTGGAATTTGGGTAGAAGTTTTAAAAGTATATGATAGCATTGAGTTCTGAAGTTTCCATTCCAAGTAGATACATTTAAAGTATCTACACATAGTAGATACTCAAAACAACACCATTGTAACTGTACATTTTACTTTGAATAAGTGGTAGGGTAGTTTGAAAAAAACCCAAAACACTTCAAAGTCTTGTAAAGAAAGGAGTTTACATTTAAAAGTAATTTAATTCTCTGTATGATGTGATCAAGATGGCTGTAGGATAATTTATTTTTAAGATATAGCATAGTAAAATGTGAAGATATAAAATTGATCCCCTTAAAAATGTCTGGACTTACCAACTGCAGCTTATGAACACATCTTTTTCAAAAATAATAATGGGTGGAGTGAACATATTTCCTCATTGAGGAGTACATAGCATCAAGACAGCTTACTATTAATACTTCTTAATATCTAAAAGAGGAGGTCAGGAAAAGAGGAGCAGGTAAATTTAAGAAAATAAAATGGATTGCCATGATCACAGCAGATATGTTAAAAATCCTTGGATCCTGGAGTGAGGTGAGGTAGTCTGGCTTTTGCTTAATGATGGCAATATTGGGCCAGGCCCAGACATAATTCATAGACTTACTTTAATGGTGTGTCAACATGCCAGTCATCACCAAACTCACCATCAAAATTATTTTAAAACTAGAGGCCAGATGCACGAAATTTGTGCACGGGGCAGGGGCGGGGGGGGGGGGGATGTCCCTCAGCCTAGCCTGTACCCTCTCCAATCTGGGACATCCCTCTCCCAATCTAGAACTGCTGACTCACACCTGCTTGCCTGCCTGCCTTCCTGATTGCCCCTAACCACTTCTGCCTGCCAGCCTGATCATCCCCTCCCCACCCCCCTGCCAGCCTGATTGATGTCTAACTGCTCCCCTGCCAGCCTGTTTGCCCCTAACTGCCCTCTCCTGCAGGCCTGGTCACTCCTAACTGCCCTCCCTTGCAGACCTGGTCCCCCCCAACTGCCCTTCCCTACAAGCCTGGTCCCTCCCAACTGCCTTCCCCTGCTGGCCATCTTGTAGTGGCCATCTTGTGGTGGCCATCTTGTGTCCATATGGCAGCAACCATCTTTGACCACGTGGGGGCAGCCAACTTGTGTGTTTTAGTGATAGTCAATTTGCGTATTATTCTTTTATTAGATAGGATAGAGGCCTGGTGCACAGGTGGGGGCCAGCTGGTTTGCCCTAAAGGGTGTCCTGGATCAGGGCGGGGGTTCCCTTGCGGCATGAGGCAGCCTGAGTAAGGGGCATGTGATGGTTTGCAGGCTGCCACACACCCTGGTGACCCAAGCAGAGACCCTGGGATCTGGCATTTATTTATCTTCTATAATTGAAATGTAGCCTTGAGCAGTGGCCAGGGTGGGTGGAATGCTTGGCTTCCTTCATTATCAGGGAAACCGAGCCTCCTGCTTGCTTAGTGTCTGCAGCCATTTTTGTTGGGATTTATTTATCTTCTATAATTGAAACTTTGTAGCCTTGAGCAGAGGTCAAGGCAGGCCAGGGCTGCAAAAGCTTGGCTTCCTCCATCACAGGGGGCAACTCAAGCCTCCTGTTCTTTCCAGCTCCATGGCTGCCACCATTTTTGTTGGGATTTATTTATCTTCTATAATTGAAACTTTGTAGCCTTGAGTGGAGGCCTGGGCCTGCCAGGGTGTGCAGGAAGCTTGGTTTCCTCCATTGTGAGGGAAACTCAAGCCTCCTGCTTGCTCTGTGACCGCAGTCATCTTGGTTGGGTTAATTTACATACTTGCTCCTGATTGGCTGGTGAGCGTGGCTTGTGGGTGTAGCAAAGGTATGATCAACTTGCATGTTACTCTTTTATTAGATAGAATAATATATATAATGTATTATCATACAAATATATATTTTTAATTTCTTTTCACTATCAAATGGTGATTTGGAGGAGTGAAATAATCACAAAGGAAAGAGAAGTGATCAATTTTTTTATCTGGAAGGAAAAAGAGAAGTAAAGAATTGGATAATTTGTAAACCTTGATTAATTTCCAAATCCTTGTAATTTATATTTACATCTACAAAATACTGTTGCTGAATAGATTCCATCTGTTATTTTTATTCATTTGGTGAAAGATGGGAAAATGAAGAAAAAGAAAATAGGAAGTGTTTTTGTGTTCTATATTTATTCATTCATCATCAAATGTCAATGTATTTCCTGACTAACTATAAATTTTGTTGGTTTAACTTTAGGGACACTACGGTACAAACCCTTACTCTTCAGCCTTCTGTTAAAGATGGACTTATTGTGTATGAAGACTCACCTTTGGTAATAATCAAATTATATGAATATTGTCTACTATGTGTGTTTTTATGTATTTCAGCCTTTGAGTAGGGGAAATATAGTATCTCCCATAGATTCCAATGTATTTCAGTCTTAACTGGAAAACACTCATTTATGTCATTTGGGGAGTGGATGTTTAATTGCAAATTATTTGGGAAAAATAACATGGTTTCTTACTCTGTTCTCTCTCCAGAGTGAGAGATTTAGGGAATGATTGAAATCCTCTAATGATTTCTTTTCCATTCCAAAATTTAAAAAAGAAGAAAGTTTTCTGTGTTGTTTTTTTCAAATGTGTAGAGTTTGAAATTAGATAATGCTTCTGGAATGTTTTTTAAAATGATTTTAATAAGTAGAATATTAACCAAATGTTTTAGGCAACTGGAAAGAGCTATTCCCCTGCTTCTCACATAAGGCCTCAAAGAAATCCTGTCCTGCTTGGCCTACCCCTCTGTGTAGATATTGCCTTTGCAGCAGTGTCACAGTAAGCCACCATGAGAACCTGTATGATCCAGACCCCAATGCCTGGAGTCTTTAGAAACTACTGCCTGAATTCTCCCAGTTTGGGCCTGACTTTCCCTGAACAGAGAAGTGAAGGCTGAGATTAGGGATAGAAGCTGTATGAGTTATCTTCTTTTTAAATTCAGTTTACTTTTATTCTGATATTAAAAAGAAAAGTCTTTATCAGTTTTTAAGAATGTAGAATAAAATATCTGTGTTAGAGGGAATTACTTACTTCTTAATCTGTATTTCCTTATATTTATTTGCCAAAACTATGTAATGAGAAAAGTTTCTGATTTGGCCCATTTTATGTTATGAGATATTTCTTACTATTTAAAAATGTAATATTTGGGTTTACAATTAAATTCATTGAATATCTCTTCCTATCCATTCTCTAAAACTGTTTTTAAAGAGTTTTCATGGCTTCCACCTTTCTTTTCCTAATGTTTCCATTCAGTCAATCATCTAAGACCTACTAATTTTCTTATATTTTTCTTTCTCCTCTTCCCAATTAATCAGTTGCCAAGACTATAGATTATACCTCTGAAAAACTCTTGAGATTAATCTAATGCTTTTTATTTCCATTTTCCCCATGCTTTCTCTCTAAAATCAAATGCCAAACCATTTTTGGACCAAGTTATTATGCTAATCTCTTTTTGTTCGATTCTGCATATTGCTGCCTGCCTAAAATATAGCTCTCAGCTATATCCCAATAATTTCTGGACTCATAGATCTTAGTTACATCCCATTACTTAATTAGGGAAAGTAGATGTTTTTTATTAGTAAAGACCTGATCTATCCTTTCAGACCCTATTCTCTTTTCTTACACTTAACCTCCGCTTCAGACAAGATATTCTTATTCACTCTACCTTTAGAATACTTCAGGATTTCTTGAGTTTGACCATTAAAACCCTTTATCTCTAATACCTACCTTTTCACAATCCATTTTGATCTGTAAAAATTGTATACTCTTTCAGAGCCATAACAAATGCAATGTTTTGAAATCCACCATTTGTCGTAATGTCTTACTCCACCCCCACAACACTTTAATTTCTCTATTTGTCATACTTGTTTTAAATCTCCCCTAGTCTGGTGTGTAATATGTTGTGAACATCACCAAAATAGGAATAATTATACTGCTAAAGGGAAATAAATTACTGTAGAGTTAGCAGTTTATTAACTATGAGAAACTTTTTGTAGAGATCCATAAATTTTGTTTCCAGCTCTGCTACAAACTTTCTTTGTGATTATATATGCATAACTTAACCAGCTATTATAAATCCCAAGCACTGAATGATGAAATTTTAAGTGTTTGCTTTCAGTTTTGTTCATGGTAAATGTTCTGTCTTCAAAGGTTAAAGCAGTAAAGTTGGGTCATGTTCTGGTAGTAGATGAGGCTGACAAGGCCCCAACAAATGTCACCTGTATTTTAAAAACTCTAGTGGAAAATGGAGAAATGATTCTAGCAGATGGAAGACGCATTGTTGCAAGTGAGTATAAAAAAAGCAACTCTTCCGTCAGTATATGCAACTTTTGCTCCCTAGTATCCAATTACACCTTGTGCTGGCTCCTTATCTCCAAGTGACAAGTCTAAGTTCAAATTGCCTTTACTGATAGTTACTTACAAAAATTAAATGTCTGAACTTAGCTTTCTCAGTTTCATTTTTATTTAATATAGTTTATTGATTTTTCACAGAGAGGAAGAGAGAAGGATAGAGTTAGAAACATCGATGAGAGAGAATCATCGATCAGCTGCCTCCTGCTCACCACCTACTAGGGATGTCCCTCAACCAAGGTACATGCCCTTGACTGGAATCGAACCCGGGACCTTCCAGTCCTCAGGCCGATGCTCTATCCAATGAGTCAAACCAGTTTGGGCTCTCAGTTTCATTTTTTATAGTCAGAGTTCATCTTTGAAAATATCAATAGTAGTTTTAGGTCATATCACCTTCAAATTTTTCTACTCTGAAATTACCAATATATAATCTCTCAATTACTATGCAATATATTTTCTTTTATTGTTACTTGGAATTTTTTAAAGCTTTAGCATGTTTCTATTACACTATTAAAATTAATGTCTTTATTATCTCAGTATATTTATTAAAATTTCTGGATATTTTATTTTATATATTTATCTCATTTGTGTTTGAATAGATGTGTGTGTACATAGGTCTATTATAGACACACACACACCTGCCACAGGAAGAAGTTATCCTCTGTTTAGATTATCTTCTTCCTTTTATTTACTTATTCTATTCCTGTTGTTGTTAGCGAAAATGTAGGTAGATGAATCTGATCTGTCTATTTAACCTACAAAGAAAAATTAAGTTTGTCTAATGCCATATGAAAACATTTCCTAGTTTATAATTTAAAAATTTTGTATCATGAAAAGACTTCACAATCTTTAACTAGACATTGAAAATATATAACCAATAGCAGAGTAACCAAACAAATTGAGACTGCTAACTAATTTCAATATTCAAAGAGAACATCTTAAAAAGATCTTATTAAAAGTGTACAAGTGCATCACCACAGAGATGTCCTTCTTGAGCCTTGTCATTATAAGATTTCTGTGCCTGAGCCCTGGAAACTCAGCACTAATAACAGTATTCTAATATTTCAGTTTCATAATGCATTTATGGGGAAAATGAGAATTTGAGTCGGACAGCCTGAATACTGTCTCTAAGCAAGATTATTCAGACTCTCAGGATGAGAATTCTGCCTGCCCCTTTTAGAGGCATTATGAGCACAGTGAAACGGAAAGCAAGAAAGAATTGCTGAAACAAATTATAGTTAAAAAGTGATATTATATTCTGGGAACCCTTAATTTTTCTCATACATTTTTAAAAGATAGTCTAGAAGTAAAGTGGTCATCATACTTTTTAAACTCAGGTTTGATTGTAAATAATATTTTATTTTGTTATTATTAGTCTTAATCTTTATTCCCTTTTCCCCCATTGACACCTTCTAGTCCCCCACCCCTCTCAAGACTTTACCACACTATTGTCTGTGTCCATGTGTTATGCATATATGCATACAAATTCTTTGGTTGATCTCTTCTCGCCCACCCACCTACTATCACCTACCTGCTGAGATTCGACAGTCTATTCCTATTTGTAAATAATATTTTAAACACAAGAGCCCCTGAAGCTTCTTTGAACATGATTTCATAAAGCATCACTTCTAGAGCTGTGGTTTTTTGTTTTGTTTTTCTCTTTGCTTTTTAATTTTTTTCATTTTTTATCATTTTTATTTTAATTAACTATTAAATTTTTCCTGTGACCACATACCTTATTATTTGCCACTACTAAAATTAATAGAGATCAAACATTAAAACTATTAAGACTATATGGTACATGGAAAGGTTGGTTTTTGGTATCATAAAGAAGTGCAAGTGCAGTTTCTTATAGACTCAAATGAAACTGCATGTAGGTGCCTCACTACTATTTTTAATGATAGTATTCAATTCCCGTAATACCTTAAACATTTGCAAACAAAAAGCTTTAGTCAACTTGAGATTACTTATTTTAAGAACTATGGTAGAATTTTTTCATTGGAAATAGCATTGCACGAATGAGTTGACTGTATCCAAAAATATTATTCTCTCTGGCTAAATTTCAGAGTGAATAGTTTGAATAGGAATCACTCCTTAGTTGCATAGTGAGTGGCAGGTTCTCTGCAAAGTGATGCAGCTGCTGATTTGATAAAAACTAAAGGATGATTGGATTGTCCTTGAGTGTGCTTTGGATTATTCCTTATTATTAGTTTTTATTTTCATTTTTTAAGGAATAACAACATCTCAAGCCAAACTAAAATACTATAAGACATTTGGACAAATTTGCTTTTATAATAAATAAATACACATTGAATTACATAGAAATGCAAGTTCCTGTATAATTAGTATATGATTTATCAGTATTCTGTTCTTAAGAAAGTTTTTTTCTATAACCAAGTCCTTATAACCATATTTTTTAGTGTTTTTAAAATATGATTGAACAGTATGACTACTTGTTACATTAGTTAAAGGTTATAACTTGATATTCTTAAGAATTATTAAATGTCAATAAAGAGTAAATAGAAATCTTGTTTTTCAGATTCTGCTAATGTCCACGGAAGAGAAAATGTTATAGTGATTCATCCTGATTTTAGGATGATTGTTCTGGCCAACAGACCTGGATTTCCTTTCCTAGGCAATGATTTCTTCGGTACTTTAGGTAAAAGCAATAAATGATAATGACAAATATAGCAGCAGCAATAATAATGCTACCTTAGTAACACCTGTAATGGCTCTCCGTGAATGCTTCCAAGTGCAGTGTCACTATCCCAACCTCCTGGGAGAGTACCTGTTATCCCCATTTTAGAGGTCTGATATTCTGAGAGGTTAACCACTTTTCCTGGGGCACTTAGATAATGGCTATTAAAGCTTGGGTCTGATTCCAGAGCCTGTTTCCTTAAACAGTTACACTATACTTTGTTGTTTAGGGCCTCTTAGAAGTAAAATACAAAGTAAGGAATGGTTTTTAGTGTTTGGTTTTTGTTACATTCCCATAACTATGAAAACGTTGAAGGCCAGCTCAAGAGTCTGATTGGAGAGGCTGTTGACTAACTTTAACCAACAGGAACCTTTAAGAAGGACATATCTTTCTATGGCAAGTAGGTCATTTTGGATACTGGTAATTCTCATACTCAATGTGAGCAGGCTCAGTGTCCTAGGAGGAATTTTGATCTAGTAATTCCACATCAAGGAATTCATCTAAGGGAGTTACCCATGCAATGATGTAAGTACAAGGATAGGCAGTATAGCATTTTTTAATAGTAGCAAAAAATTGGAAACAATACAAATGGGACAAGATTTAAAAAAAAAATTCTATTATATCCACACAATAGAGGACTATGAGCTGTTTTTAAAAAAGATTGGAGTAAGTTTACCTACACTGGTTAAAAAAGAATTTGAATTAGTAAAAAAAAAAAAAAAAAAAACAAAGGCAAGAGGGATATGTATACAAGATTATACTTGTATAGATCTTCCTTGGAAGAGCACAGAGCATGTCTCCCAAATTCTCTTCTCTCTCTGACCTCATTTTTTATTTGGCTCTCTTCATCACTCATTCTGTCCCAACCATTCTGCTTTGCTGCTTCTTCTGGGAACATACCAGGTTATGCTTGCTGTATGTTCTGTATTAGCTGCAAGCTCTCCTAGAATTCTTTTATTCTCAATACCTGCATTGCAGACAGGAAGCCCTGCCTGTCTGACTTACTCATCATCACCATTTCTGATGTCCTACCCTCTGCTTTTCTATAGTTTCTAGCATTTATTCTTATTTTTTTATTGTCTCCCTATGCCAGAATAAACACTCTATGAGGACAGGAATTTTGTGTTTTTAACCACTGAATCATGTAAAGAACCTAGAATAGTAGTTGACACACAGAAGACACTTAATAATTATTTGATGAACGAATTAATGAGGAATAATTATAGATTTATATTAGTGTTACATTTGATCATAAGCAAAAAAAGGCAAAAGCTATTCACATTTGTATTTAATGGATTTACTCTATGGCATTCAAGGTTAGGATGATTATTCTAGCCAACAGATCTGGATTTCCTTCTTAGACAGTGATTTCTTCAGTACTTGCATTTTATTCCATTGCTGTTATAAATATGAAATAATGATAAAACAATGATTCTCATGGTTTCTTTTTGTTTTGTTTAAATTTCTTTATTGATCAATATATCACATATTTGTCCTCATCCCAAACCCCTCCTCATGCATGCCTCGCCCCCTATTGTCCTTGATCACTGGTTAGGCTCATTTGGATGCACACAAATCCTTTATCCCCTCCCTTCCCCCTTCCCTCTGAGTTCCCACAGTCTGATCATGCCTCCTTGTCTCCGGGTCTGTTCTTGTTCATCAGTCTATGTTGTTCATCATTTCCCCTAGATGAGTGAGATCATGTGCTACTAGAAATACACTTATAAGAACCGAAAATGAGACAAGCAATAATGGTTATACTGAAAGGCAAATGAATCAATCTATAGTGAGTTTCTTTCTGGGCCAACAGTTTGATTCTGATGGTTTCTAAGTCAAAGTAAGATCAAGATGTTCTTTCTTTCTAAATGAACATCATAAATAATGCAAATTTATTTATTTTAACTCCCTTTTCATATCTCCTGGATTATGAGTCAGTAGAATTATATGTATTTTGAATATAAGTAAGTAATCTTTCTTGAGCATAGATTATATTTTTCTAGTATATTCTCAGTTGCCTAAATTGCAGATGAAATATCTTGTGTTTCCACATTCCTTTTTCTTGTTTCTAATTTAGACATTGTCTCTGCAGGTTTGCTGTTTCTAAACTGACTTCTAACATATATCCTAGCAATCTGCACAAGGTATAAATTATTTAGAGTGAGGATGCTGGTTCCCCCTTTTTTAATATATATAAAGCACACATATGAGATAGTTGTATATAATGTCTCAAGATATTTAAAGTGTTAAAGTTAAAAATGCAGTCTCAGAACAATATGAAGATTCTTTTCCAATTAAATAGAAAAGGAATAAATCACCAAAACTACATATGCTTTTATGTGTGCAATAAAAAAAAAAAAAAAAAACTGAAAGAATAATTGCACCAAACTGTTAACACAGGTTCCTGTTGGGGAGCAAGTGGGACGGCAGAAGCACATGAGAGGTTCTCTTTTTTATTTATTTAAATATCTCCCAATGAGATTGTATCCAAGAGTTACTTAGTTTTTTTAAGAGAAGCAAATCTATGTAGAATAAACCACACATCACTCAATTTTCTTTTCTTTAACTGTAATCATTCACTGTCTTCTCCACATCATCCTATTGTGAATGGGCTTTCTGTGCAGTTTTACACATTTAAAAATTTGCTTTTGTGACCAACGGGTGGCTCTTTAAACAACCATTGCATATTTCCTATAGCAGTATAATGGATTCATTGCATGCTGAATGTGATTTTTTTTTTTTTTAGGTGATATTTTTAGCTGCCATGCAGTTGATAATCCCAAGCCCCACTCGGAGCTTGAGATGCTCAGGCAATATGGACCAAATGTACCAGAGCCCATCCTTCAGAAGCTCGTGGCTGCCTTTGGAGAGCTGAGGAGTTTAGCTGACCAGGGGATTATTAGCTACCCTTATTCTACCAGAGAAGTGGTCAACATAGTCAAGCACTTACAGGTATGGCAAACACTTGTGCATAAAGGTTAAAATAAGCCATCAGTCTTTTTTTAGACAGCTTAATTTACACCAAATCTTTCAACGTCTGTAAATATTATACTGATTCAGGTGATATATCGATAAGTGTTTGTAATCTGCATTTTAAATCTGTAAGACCAGTGGACATTTTATGTTTAGCCTTTGAATTGAGTTTGCCCAAGTTCTATCCATGGCATTACCAAGGAGCCATGAAATCTAATTGGAGTGTTGGGGAGGGGAAAGGAGACAAGAGTGTGAGACAGCAGGGAGACTTGGGTATAGAAAAAAAACTAGGGACCAACAGTATTAATTATATATCTGTAAAAACAGTTTTATAAAATAGAGTAAATGAACAGGAGAATGAAATTCCTTATAGCCATGTATAATGTATAGTCTACCTACCTTGGTAAAGCTAAACAAAAAAAAACTTATGTAAATTCTATTTATAACAAATAATTGTTAGATCCAATTATTAGATATAATGTTTATAAGTCTAGTTATTTTAAATTCAGCAATTGATGTTTGCTTAGAAGTTAGGTAGCTTGTAAGTATACACTGAGTTGAATTAACTATACACATAACAATTATAACAATTACATTATAATTTATAAGATATTTGTAAAAAATTGGCTTTGTACTGTTTAATTGGTATTGTACTCATGTAATCATATTCTTCTATTCAGACTCATTTAAGGTAATGAGTTGGAAGAATACTCAATAAAAACTTAATAATTATAAAATAAGAAAAAAATGAACTTTAAGCTAACAATTACAGTCTCATAACTCTTGATCTTTGCCCCATCCCCAAAACTCCAAGGAAAATCAGCAAAGGAATATAGAAGGCTTTATTCTGATTGTAAAACAATGATAAGCCCAGCTCAGATCTCAGTGTGTGAGAAAGAGCCAGTGAAGACCCAGAGGACACTATAGTGTGTATTTACATGAGTGGGAACTTATTTCTTTCCCTCTGCTACACCTCATGTTTCTGTGTTCTGTATTTATGTTCTCTCTGTCTTTTCTTATTCTGCTATCATATTTTCATTTCTTCATAGACCTTTGACTTTTCTTAATACTTCTGTATAGATATTCAATACTCTGCTCTGTTTAAATAGTATTTTTTTTATTTGTCCAACCTGGTATTCATTTTAAAGTCAGGAAATATCAGAAAGCAGTGGAAGGCACTGAAACCAGTGTCTAACATGGTTTAACGTTTGAGAGAAGGAACTGGGCCCCTCAAATTCTCATGTTTATTTAAAAAGGAAAATTTCACCAAAACCGGTTTGGCTCAGCGGTAGAGCTTCGGTCTGCCAACTGAGGGGTCCCAGGTTCGATTCCGGCCAAGGGCATGTGCATTGGTTGCGGGCACATCCCCAGTGGGGGATGTGCAGGAGACGGCTGGTCAATGTTTCTCTCTCATCGATGTTTCTAGCTCTCTATCTCTCTCCCTTCCTCTCTGTAAGAAAATCAATAAAATATATATATATATATTTTTAAAGGGAAAATTTCAATTCATGAGAGCAAAATTAAAAGAGAAAAATACACATATTCCTTCTATCTGGTTATGAGACCAGGCTGTTAATGTATGCTAAAGTTCATTGTATCATTGTATCATTGTTCTATCAGTTTTGTACTTATATTATGTATTTTTCAAATACGTAATAAGGTGTGTGTTTTTTAATGCAGAAATTTCCCACCGAAGGTCTCTCCAGTGTGGTTAGGAACGTGTTTGACTTTGATTCCTACAACCCCGACATGCGGGAGATTTTAATTAACACTTTGCACAAGTACGGGATACCTATTGGAGCAAAACCTACCAGTGTGCAGCTGGCGAAGGAGTAAGGCAAACTCACTACTGATTAAATGCTATTGAGTGTTACTGTTCTAATTCTGAATAATGCTGATAATTTGGAATCTACTTTATACTCTACTAAACTAAGTTGGGGTATAAATTACTTTCCACAAGTAAATTTTCAAATATATGTTGCTATTTGCTGGCTGGCTTTCAGTTAAATAGCATTATTTAGAAGCATGTAAATTGAGAATTTCAATTTTGAATGTTCCATGAGTAGATGTAATATAATCAAATAAAGGGAAATATTTGTTTCTTTAAGTCTCTGTCTTTTTGTTGAATTACTATGACTCGCTATTTCTTAACCTAGTGAAAAATCATAGTACAAATGTGAAAACAATGTAAAGGGATAATATGTATTTAGTTAAGATGTTCTTATTTATGTTACCATGTATTTTTCTGTTATGATAGTTTCTATATTAACTTAAGAGATTTTTGGTTACTTATTTTAGTTTGACAGATGAAAGAGGTAGTGAAAATTAGTGGGTTTGCTTCATGTGGGCCAGTTGCCTGACTTTTATTTTGTAATTACAGGCTACGTACTTAACCTTACCAAAGAATCTTGCAAATATTGTAGACCAGAAAGATAGTTGACAGAGTTTATTAGTAGAGTAGTTAAATCCATGCAAAGTCATTAGAAAACAATTTTTAAAATGCATAATTTATTAACTTATGATAAAGATTCCAATGCTTTGTCTATAAAAATAATTAGCATAAATTCCTAAGACACAATAATTACTTTAAAATTATTATTTAACTTTAGTTTCATATAGGAAGCACTCTATTTTCCTTAGAAAAAAGTTTTAAATATTATAGCCCAGCTATATTTATGTGTTTATATATACACCCACATATATACATATATATCCTAAATGTATACATGATCCTCATTTATTCTTTGAAGTTATTAGAAAAACATCAGAATATATGCCAATAAAAATACATCATTAAAGCTTTAACAATTTCTTCAAAGATTTCTTAAAGAAAAACAAATATTTCCCTTTTGTGGTAAAGGCTCAAAATAGAGTTATGTTAGATTATCAATAAATTTGTTTATATTATTAATGAGTGAATAAATATTTTTTGAGAAGAGTGATTTTGTTGCTGGTAGAAATGGGGTCATTTTATGGAGTTCTAAGAAAATTATTTCAGAGGACCCATGCATGGGAGGTTGAGATGTTGTGGTAAGATATACTGGGGTTCCCCAGATTCCCCAGGTCTCATCTCCCTCATTTCCACTTTGGAAAAACTCCAGCCTTGTCTTCATCAGGCCCAGAAATTCTGTGCCACGCCAAGGCTTAGTCCAGTTTAGTCTCAGTCCCCATCTGGCCAACTTAGTCTGTTCCTGGCTTTGTTGCTGTACTCAACCTTGAGTCTATGCTTGGAATCTGGGCTTGGAGTCCTTGAGGCTGCCAGGCCTAAGGCAGCTGCTAGGCCCACATGGCTGCTATGGAGAGAGAATGTGTAAGCACACAGGGTGAGCATGTGTTACCAGATTGTGTGCATGTGTGTGTGTGTGTGTGTGTGTGTGTGTAAGAGAGAGAGAGAGAGAGAGAGACAGTGAGAGAGAGAGAGAGAGAGAGAGAGGGAGGAAGCTTTATTAAGTTTGGATTATATTATTTAGGGCTTGGGAAGGACCAATGGCCCTTTCAAATTAACCAATCAATTTCCTAATTTCCCCTCAGGTTTCTGATGGGTCTTCCCCCTAACCAATCCATTTCTTGGATCTGGGTTTCTGTGTCTGGGGTTCTGTGTCTCTTATCCAATCTGATTTTTCTTATGCTGTGCTCTGCCCCTTATAGTTGCCATCTTAGTTTCACTAGGCATACCTCATAATAGAAGGATTTTCCCCTTTGCAATCTTGGCTTCTACCGTGCATGTGCCCAGCAGAGGAATTTCCTCTCCTCCTACTCTGGTACCAGGCTGGCAGTTTCCTGAAGAGACTCTTTTTGCCTATAAAATATTTATTTGTTGCACTTTTTATTTTATTTTTTTTATTTTCCCCCATCACCATTTATCCCCCTTACACCTTTTCCACCTCCACCCATTCCTCTGTGTACCCCTCAACCCCTCATCACCACACTGCTGTCTATGCCCTCTTTCTTTTTTGTCCAATCCCTCCACCCTGCCCACCTCCACCACTATCAGAGCTGTCTGTTCTCTATGTGATCATCCTTCTTATTCCATATTCTTTGACCTCAACTCTGTTGACTTATTTTTAATGCTGCTTTGTTTTTTCTTTTTCCTTTTTAATTTATCTTTGTTGTTGAAAGTATTACAGTTGTCTCCTTTTTTTTCCCATTGACAACCCCTTTCCCCACTCCCCACACCATTCCCAGGCCTTCACCACACTATTGTCTGTGTCCATGGATTATATATATAAGTTATGTAGTTAATCTCTTGCCCTCTCCCATCCTCCACTCCTCCCCCTATCCCCCTACCCAACTTTTCCTCTGAATTCCTCAATCTGTTATGTTTACTCTTAGGCCAGTTTAATATTTTCCCCCAAAACATTTATTGCCTATTTGTCACTGGAAAACTATATATAATCTACCAATCATTTGTGTCAGAGTAGAATAAAAAATTTGAGGAAATTAAAAAGTTTTAACACATAGTATTTCTTTGTGATGTATATGTACTAAATAAAGAATGAATTTTTGTTTATGTCTAAATTAACAAAAAGAAAATTAAAACACCTATAATTCCACCATCTGAAGATAATAATTTTTAAATCCTTCCAGATCTTGTGGTTCTGTGTGTTATTTCATACACTGAGAAATATTTATTTTGAGTTTTTATTTTTATTTTTTGGCACAGCTTTTCTTCTTAATAGAAGATACATGTCCCTAAAAGGAGGTTCTTTAAAAAATAAAAAATAAAAAAAAACATATTTTTAATTGATTTCAGAGAGTAAGGGAGGAGGAGAGACAGAAACATCAGTGATGAGAATCATTGAGAGGCTGCCTCTTGCATGGCCCACACTGGAGATCAGCCAACAACCCAGGCATGTGCTCTGACTAGAACTGAACTGTAAACTCCTGGTTCATAGGAACTCCACTACTGAGCCATGCAGGCCAAGTGAAAAGGGGTTCTTTTATTTTAATTTTTTTAATACATATTTTAGTAATTTTAGAGAGAAAGAGAGAGATAGAAACATCAATGATGAGAGAATCATTGATTGGCTGCCTTCTGCATGCCCCACACTGGGGATCGAGCCCGCAACCCAGGCATGTGCCCTTGGCCGGAGTCAAACCTTGGACCCTTCAGTCTGCAGGCCCACGCTCTATCCACTGAGCTAAACCAACCAGGGCAGGGGGTCCTTTTAAAAACATTTTATTCCTAAGCTCCCTTGTTGAAAATAAATTTATCTCTAATGCAGTAGATTTGAGTGCAAATGACATTCTTCCTCAACCCTACTCTTTTCTCCATCCTTCTAGACATTTTGAGTACTAGATATTTATTGTAAGCATAATAAACAGAACCATCAAGTATATAAGGAACTCTCACAAGGAATATAAACATTCATATCACCTCTTTGTGTCTTTTTGCATATGTTTAAATCTCATTATCCTTATCAAACATGTAAAAATGCTGTTGTCAGACAGACTGCACATCTCAAAACAATTGTCATGTGAGGCTTTAAAAGTGTTCTATAGCCCTATTTGAGTCTTAAAACTGCTCCTCACGTGCCCTGTTCCCTCTCTGCTTTCAAATACTTGATTAAAAATTTTTAACTTACTTTTTCAGACAAAATAAAGTATGAATTATCAAGGTCTGAGACCATATTAGCAAATTTTCAATTAAATCTCTTTAATATATTTACATTTAGAATCATTTGAAAACACAGGGTAGTATTGGCAGTGGTTGCCTTTGCGAGGCCTCACTTTCTTGCTATTTTAATATTCTAACATGTATTATTTTCTGTGTTCTATTTTTTACATGTCCACAGATAGTCTCGGCACTGGAATTTATTTTATTTTCTTACTTAAATAAAAGTTTTAAAGGTCTAGTCTGAAATTGCTATTTCTTGCCTCCCATACAGCAAAGCTCATGCTACACTGTGATGACTACTCCAAAGGTAGAAACTGGCACGCTTTCCAATGGCAAACAAGAAATTATGTGAACTGAGCAACTCTAGGGCATTTTAACACAACCTGAGTTTAATCATTGATAATGTGTCAAGTGAGGATAGACAACATATTTTTAAAGCAGCAAAAATAAAAATGGTTGATATTTATCAAGTGCTTACAAGTGCTGTAAGCACTTTACAAATATTAATGTATAATCTATAAAACAATTCTTTTATTCTATTAGGGAAGTAATTTTTAAAAGTTTACTATCTATTAGGTATAGTAGAGAGAGAGAAAGAGGGTGGGGGAGAGAGAGGGAGAGAGAGGCATAGGAGAGAGAGAGAAAGAGAGAGAGAGAGAGTGTGTGTGTGTGTGTGTGTGTGTGTGTGTGTGTGTGTGTGTGTGTTTGTTTTACAGATGAAGAACTGGAATTTCAGGAAACTAAATACTTAACAGACTATATAACTAATAAATGACAGGGTGGGGAATTCAACTGCAGTTCTGTCTGTTCCAAAACTATCATCTTTTTCCTCATTCCATAATGTTGTCTGTACAGAGCCTTATACAAGAGAAGCAATGCAATACAACACTGGACTACAAGATTTTAAAGCTAATGGAAACTTTGCAGTTTTTCAAATGTTATTTCCCTTTATTTGGGGGACATATATCAAATGCATATAACTTTTACATTAGGGACTAAGCCCATTGTTTTAATCACATTTTCCTTCAAGTTAATGCTATTTGTCATTGATTCCATAAGTAAGTAAAAAATACTTTTCACCCCTAGCCAGTTTTCTTCAGTAGATACAGCATCAGCCCACTGATTGAAGGGCCCCAGATTCGATTTCATTCAAAAGCATGTATCTTGTATTGCATGCTCTATCCTCCGGGGCATGTGCAGGAAGCAACCAACCGA